AAATGTGCTGCATCACCATCAACCAAATGGAGTCTCATGCTAGTTTTTAACTTCATGGTGCGCATGTTTCGCCCAAAAAAACTTAAGCAAGCATCGATTCGGGGTTCAGCACAGATCGAATGGAAGCAGGCCGGACTTCGTTTTTGGGACAAAAAGCAAAGGGGATATCGTTTTTACGGGGTCTAAGGCGGAGCCCGAAAAAGTTGTGTACGTGCATTACCAGCGAAAATTAGAGGATGTGGATGAAATCGCACATACAGTGTGCAAGACAATTCAACAAGTAAAGAATCACTCTCGAACCGTTGAAAAGCCTTGAAAGTTTTTGTTACCTTGGATTGACAAATGCATGCGGTACAACTCAAGTTTCCAATAGAATGTCAGCAAAATTGAAGGATACGAGAAGCAACAAGCCTAAACAGCGCTTAGCACGGCTGGCACCGAGTCCTGGATGTGTTTCAGCGGGAAGCAAAGATAACCTTTTTGCTAAGCGGAGACTCGGAAAAGTTCGAAAGCGAATTAAAATTACTAAATCAAAATTGCGCATTCTGACTTGTCGGTTTAAACAAATTAAGACAGGACCATTACATACCTAACACTCTCGCACACCGCGACATTTCAAAATTGAGTTCAACCTTGATGCCTCATATACAAAGAATACGAATTTTGCTTTACTCTTATATTTTCTCAATTTTTACACCTTTCGCCATAAAGTGCATTATCTGCATGTCAAAAGTTTTGTATATCAAATCTGTTTCGAATTCATTCCTGTAAGCTTTTTTGCGGTCCTTTAAATATTTTTAATGGTGGCGCATTTCTTCGAGAACCAAAGCAAACAGCGAGAACGCTCAAACAAATAATGCGCGAATGTTTTTTTTCGGACGTTCCGTGTTCACTAGGTATGCCTTTCTCTCTTCGCTTGAGAATGCAGATTTTCTGTTCACCAAGTAAAGGGCAAAATTTGGACAGGTCTGAGAATGAATAGTGAACTACAACATCAGATTGCTAAACATTCAGCATTTGTGTCAAATGCTAGACATTCGAATACATTATTTTGTACATTAGTGCTTTCAAACAATTCCTCAACTTTCACCATTTGAACAAAAATACGAGACCTGTCTGTACAAAGTTGTCATATGGAAGAACAAAATTACGTTTGTCTGGACAGAACGCTTTGACCATGTATTAACCTAACTAAATTCTAAGCTTAATATAGTCAAGAATATAATCAATTCGTAGATCATTTTTGCCTGCTGCAAAGGTCTTTATCACATATGTTTCAAAATATTTGCAGTTGCTTGTCATTACATATCTATAGGTTGTGTAGGAGTGTGTCTCTACCTTGCAGTTTAAAATCTTTCGCAAAGAAAGAAAATCTAGTGTTAAATCGTTATGTAGGCGAAACCCTGAATATTAGGCTAAAATGATTATTGAAACGGTCCCCTTTTCTCCATCCAATAAGCGGCAGTGGAGCATTACATTTGTTGATACGTCGTTGCACCTAGCAAGGTCTTGAACTTTTGACTTAAAACCGGTGATGACATCAAGTGCAAATTAGCATATTAGCAGTGGATGACCTTTCCTTCAATAATCTACATTTACCATGGACTAGTGAATTGGAGCGGTTTGAGGTGAATTTTGGTTGAGCAAGAAAAACTGTAGGAGAAGAGTATTGCAAGTGTTCAAAAGATGCTAATCTGATCTTCTTCTGCTATATTGGCTGGATCTAAACTATGCTTCATAATTATGATTTGAGTGAAAGTTATTAGTAACTAGCTTGCTTACCCGGCTCCGCCCGGCCCTGTGAAAACACTGTAATAAAGGTCCCATCCCTATCCCTGTACAGCCTTTCCCTGTGCCCACTTCTACACTTCATTTCCCGTTCCCTGTGTTGTTTTCGAAATCAGCATGCTCGATTACCCCCCCCCCCCCCTGTGCCAACTCCCAGCCCCCTAGCTCAAACTTTGCAAAAAAATCGATAAAATCGATAAAAGTAATCGATAATCCTGAAAACTAATATTGTATTCGGAATCCCCATGCTCGATTACCCCCCTGTGCAAACTCCCAGCCCCGCAGGTCAAACTTTGCAGAAAAAATCGATAAAATCGATAAAAGTAATCGATAATCCTGAAAACTAATATTGTATTCGGAATCCCCATGCTCGGTTACCCCCCTGTGCCAACTCCCAGCTCCGTAGGTGAACTCAGCAAAAAAATCGATAAAAATCGATAAAATCGATATCGATCGATGACGAAAAGTAGCCTATGACACGCGCCGGGGCCCGAAGTGTATGTGTGCCAAGTTTGGTCCGGATCGGTTCAGAAATGGAATTTTCTATCGGAACATACGTACACACAGACAACATACATACATACAGACAAACAGACATTCAGCTTTATATATAAGATTAACAATGAGAAGCATATCAAGATTTGTCTAGATAATGTTAAAGTGATTCAAAAAGATTGGAGCACATTGACTTCTTATAACATTCTTGCAAGATTTCTTTTTATATCTAAACAACTAACAATTAAACCTCTTTTTGAAGTGACCATAGCATGTTATCCCAAGGGCACCTTGCAACACCTCACGGCAAAAAGGTTTGTCAGTTGCTGAGCGTCAATAGCGAGCTTATTCGATCCGAAGTGAGAATAAATAATATATCCCCTAATACTAAATGTTACATCCTCTGATGCAAAGCGTTGGGACACTAAGCTATTTAAATCTGGTGACGGTCCCCTCACTTGTGTCTCCGTAACCTAATTAAGGCTGGAAAATGATCAGAGAGCATGTTCTCGAGGAAGGCGCAGATTGCGTCGTGGACGGAGTGGTCCCCTCCTAAGTCATGAAGCCCCGCCTTTTAGCAGCCAATTTGGTTGAAGCAAAGGGTAGATTACCGAAAGTTTGGGTACCTTTTTATTCAACTGTCTTGGCGTCTAAAAGGGGGTCTTCGTGACCTAATCAGGGCTAGAGCATGATCAGAGAGCCGGCGACGCAAGCCAATGAATAAAGATTATGTACCAACATCTGATAAAACTAAGCATCCAAAAAAGTTCTGCCTGAGAAAACTGCATTCAATCTTTAAGTGCTCTTTTACTTTTGGATTGATAGTTTTGAGTCAACAATCAACTCTACTTCCTCTACCAAGTTTTCTGGTTTTCAGCACATCCTGTTATGCCGAGCTCGTTAGTATTAGAATCTACAACTATTTTCTTATTACAGCTATCTCGTAGTGATTGCCACTTCCTTCTAACATTCACCGGCCTCCAAAATTCTTACTACAGATACACTATTTTTCTGTGATCTTCACACCTGCAAAAGAGACTGGCACTAGTCGATAACAGGTACGCTGTAGATTAAGGAAATGTCGCCAGGTGAATGCGGTTATTTGTACCAGGTTCTGATTTTGAAATGTATATTAATCTTCAGATTCATAATATTATTCTTATGAAAATCATGGGAGCCACCCCGATCTTTCGAGCTTGATTTGGGTGAACAATTTTTTCGCACCCTGAACTTGCATTTATTTGTTAACACATATTTTAGTCACAAACAACTTCAACAGTTGGCTTTATACGCCCAATAGTATCAAAACCAAGATAAGAAATCTTTAAACGCGTTACTGAGTTCGGCTCCTACATATTTTTCGAGTATCTTTGTACACATAACTTTCCATTATATTTACCATTTAGTGTGATGATGCCTATAAAGAAGTGTAATATATTCATCTAATGTACGCACAAAATAATCAAAAATGTGCGTCTACCTGTCTTCCAGCAATTTGCACTTGGACGGTGTTACTTTACTAAACTAAAATAGCCAATCAGTTTTTTATGCCAGCAAATCATCTGTAGCGAAAAGGACAACTTAAACATAGAAAGTAGTGTACATGATATCACCGCGAAGTAATGCACTTTACTATTTTGGGTTGACGTCCTACAAATCCTAACTTAGCACCACATTACAATATCGATTTGTTCTGTGCGTATACTAATTATTGTTAACATGTAATAGAACTTATGTGTGCTCATTAATGTAAGTCCATGGCCATTTTCCCAACTCTTGGAGCGCAGACTTTCCAATAAAGAGTAATATCGGTTTTGTGTTTGAGTGTATGTATGCATGTATTCTGGGTTTTCAATCTTTTCCTGCTGCATTCAACTCCTTGCTTTCAAGAAGGAGAATGATCTGAGCGTTCGCACGATGTTTGCCGCGTTCAAAGTTTCGGCCAAATACTCATAAACCTTACACTTACAACTTACACCCGAAAACCAAAAATTGTTCAAAAAAAGCCCAGATGTGAACATGCTCACGCTCACACTTACCACATCAAAATTCTATGTCTACTACATTTTTCGTGGTTTAAGATGCAGAATATGGTTATGTGATAATGTTGCTCTTTCACTAGTCCAGTAATATGATATTTTTGGAAATCTGGTGCTTGTAAAAAATTACAAATTATGCTGTACTTGCAAGAGTTGATAGTGTGGTACCTATGTAGGCAAAGATCGGAATTTCTAGCCGATGCTTGCCAGTTCTCGTCTTCTTTTTTTTCAGCACAAGGGGTACACTGACTATACAAATTTTCTGATAGAAATCCCATCTTTTTGAGACCGAGATTCGATTTTCTATCTGTTGGAATTATACTTTGGCTTCAAACGGTGTAGACTGAATTTTTTGGTAATATATGGAGACTGACATATATGTGCTTCCTCCCTTTGATCTGTCGAATAATAATATTTGAGTAATTTCTAGAAAAATGCAGAATATCGTCAAATTGATGAAACTTTTGAGGCGAATTCCTAATAACCTATAAAATGTTATTGGCATGCATTACAATATGAAAACTGGCGCAGAGATGATTGCTAGGCAGTGCGAAAGTGCAAACGTTTGCACCCTCTAAGAATTAATTAAAAAGCTGTTGTCTTATTGTACACTCAATTGTACTGTCTCAGTTTCCTTCTTCAAATTGTAGCCATAAAATTTATGAGAGTACGCGTAGAGTTACTTTCGACATGATTCTACCATTCTCGGCAGATGTTGCTGTCTGGAGGACTTGTCTTGGTTGGCATCATTGTAGCACTTTCCATGTCATTGTATTGCTTGCTCATCGCGGCTATGTGGCGTCACCGAAAAAGTAGCTGCTATAAAACCTTTTTCTACAGGACTTTGTGGAATGAGGTGAGCACCATAGCATCTTCATCTAACATTGTATCCTTAATGAAGGATTTCAATCCTATGTAGTGGATCACTGGATAATGAAAAAAAATTTATCTATGCATTCAGCACAAGTTGGTTTCGCTTTTATGAGAAGCAAAGTTAATTAATTTATTAGGGCTGTCGGGCAGAAGGCAGCAAAGGCTTGCCGCTTCTGCTTATGAAAACATCTGAGGAGCTCCAAGCTCCCTCGCGTCTCTAATTACTTCTTCGCGCATCAGACTACTTGATAAGACCTATGCCCGATTGTTCGTAGGCTTTTCGAGCGTGTTAGATTGGGAAATACAGGTTTTATGTTTCAGATCCATAGCAAACGATTTAGTAATTTCTAGAAAAAGCTTATGGAGATCAGCCCATTCAACATCAAATACGGCATGAGATTAGATTTGTGGAATACTTGGTCAGTGAATCTTCAAGCCCGAATCCTGAATATATTCTTGTAAATCTTCCTCAATCATTTTGGAGACAAGGGCCCGTAGTAAAGCTGCTTCACTCGATCTCAACTGAGGAAAGCTTCAGTTGAAGCTTTAACGAGTCAGCATTGCCTTAGTTGAGTCATTGATTGAAAATTTCAACCGTCCACATAGATATGATTGCGTATGCCACGTTTATGCAAGTATCCAAGTAAAGACCGTAAGGCCAAACATTCAGATCTTTGTGATTGGTACTAGCGGCGGAGATGTGGCCGCACTTGTTAGATCTCGTCGAAGATCCTTAGCCTGCAATGTGGCTCCTCACTCAATATGTTCGACAAGTTGAACTGACGTGTATCGTAAGTTACTCAGGAGTAACTTACGGAAATATTCTCCAAACTAGCGACCCTATTGGTCGCTGGCAAGTGGGTCGGGGCAAATACATTATTAGCCGTCTAGTTATGACTGCAAAAATCTCTACATTTTATACTTCTTTGTAAATTACTCATGATAACCCACTCTTATGGGCGAGTCCTGCAAAAACAAAGAACTTTACGTTTATTCAACATTTGAGAAGCTAACACAGTCTTACAAGATTTGAGGAAGAAGATCGACCTTTTCCCAAATACCTTCTCATCCAAATCCCCTCTTCATAAAGATTCATTCAAAAAATAAAAGACCCGTCGTTTCCACGCCTTTTACAAGGAAAACTTTCTCAAAAAACCCTACAAGTGGCGATTTTGGCAAGTTACAATGAAAATCACCATAAAAACAAAATACACTTTCCCAGAAATCATAACAAAGTTCTTTTTGCGTTGTCCTGTCACAATGATTTTGCGAGCTCTGGCAACATGAACCCGATTGAGAACTTCTGATTTTTCCGACAGTCTTCATTGAGTGGATGTACTCTACAAAAACTCTACACTCGAGATTCCCTAGATCCCGGAAAAAATGGCAACGGAAATGAATATCGTTTTTTTTGTGCCCTATGTGCCGCCTACAAATAAGTTTTTATTCATGGGAAAAATGCTCCACGATCCGCCTAGAAGCGATCTACAAAAAATTTGCCCTACGATCCCTCCCCCCCCCCTGCAAATCCACTTTTCAAGAGAAAAGCAGCCTTACGACCGCCTACAGACGATATACAGGGTGTCCCAAAAGTAAGTGCACACTTTTCATTCGCCAAGATCTCTCTTCCCAGTGGGTCTTTTTTGCCAGTAAAGTACCATTCTGTAGAAGAGGCTTCAGCTAAGACATGTAGCATCGATCGAATCATCGATCACTCATCGTTACTGTAGGATTATGGTAAGAACTTCCAACATATGGAAGCACTGTGAAATATGCCATTGGACAAAACTTTTTCCAAAAAATCTGAAAAATCGTGTACTACGGTTTTTACGCACGCTCATTCCAATACACAAATTTTTACAAGTGTTTTCAGCTTTTTAGATGGTGTAAATCACATTTCTGACAAGTACTGGGAACTCGGTTATTACGGTTTACCTGGAATAACTTTGGAAAGAAGCACTCCAGTAAAGTAAAATTTTGTACTCGAAATCAGCGGCTTCCATTACCATAGTCCAAGAGTTTTTGACTTGTTTGGTTTTGTTCCGAGAAGAATATTGCCTCCAATGGCCTAAAATCCTTGTCGAAGTTCCTACAGTAACCCCTGCAGTAATGAAGAACGATCGGTGATTCGCTCGATACTAAAATTCAAAGCGAAGCCTCCTCTACAGAGTTGTACTTGAATGGCGGAAAAAGACACTATGGAAAGAGAGATTTCAACGACTAAAAAGTGTGTACTTACTTTTAGGACACTCTGTATATCAGAAAAAGTCGTGAACAGTGTGGGTCACCCACCGACACTTTGAAAACTACCCTGCAGGGCCCACTACAGAGCAATATTTCCAGACTTTCCTACGGCCACCTACAGAGTGGTATTCTAGGAAAGAATGACCCTACAAGACCCCTATAACCAAATCTTAGGATAATGCCATACGGGCCTCCCACAGACCGATATCTCAAGGTAGTCGTATGGCTGCGTAAAGAGATTTTTTCAAGAACGAACTGCCCTACGGGTCGCTTGCAGACTGATAATCAACTATTAGAATGAACTGCCATACGTGCCGCTTCCGTATATTAATTTGAGGAAGATGCCCTGCAAGCTATTTGAAACCGTTTCCAGAAAAAAAGATACTTTTTAGAGAATTGCCCTACGAACTTCCCACAAATCAATTTCGACAAAAAATTGCTCTATGGGCCGCTTACGAACGTCACTTCGAAAGAGAACTGCCCTTTGGGCTGCACGGACCGAAGATCTTCAAACTAATATTTTTGTGAACAGGCCAATATTTCGAGAAACAACCGCCTTACCCTATCCTCGTATCCCCTATGCAAGAGTATGAGAAAAGAAGCTATGAGCTACTTAAACGATATTTCACGCCTTTACAAAGTAATATTTTGAGGAGCAATGCCCTAATCGCCGCCTACAGGCCAATGCTTGGATGAAGGAGATGCGCTATGGGCTGCTCTCGGGCCAATAGAGAACTTATTGCTTAGCCCCCTACAGACCGATACTGATAAAAGATAGAATTGAGAAGCTTACAGATCTGTCTTTAGCGAGTACTACTATGGACCGCCTACAGACCGGTGATTTTGAAAAGGAAGTGCCCTATGGACCTCTTACAGAACGATAATTCAAAGAAAAAAAATGACCTACAAGCCTCCCGTAGGCTATAATTATGCGAAAGAACTGCCCCGTGCGAGCTTACACGATGATCCTAATAGAAACTGTCCAGCGAACCCCAACAAACCGTATTGCCCTAGATGCCGCTAACAAATTGAAAGATATGTTTTATGACAGCTATGACAGCCAACAAAATGGATTTTTGAGAGGAAATAGAGACCCACCAATAATGCAGATAGAGAAACAACGGAGGAATCGTCCTCACTGATCTACTTTTGTTGAACGTAAGGGGCAACCTTGAATACTACAGCAGGAACACGAAGGAGTGAACGAATTCTCAGAGCATTTACATAAACGTGCAAGGGCTACTACAGCATGTCGAAAACCAAACTGGCTGGTACCAATGGGAAAAACTCGACAGTCATACCCGCAGAGTTCAAACTTGCGAAAGAGGGGGGGGGGGAACTGTTAGCAACCTTACGAGAGTGTCGGTACCTCCACAACCATAGCCTTTTTGCACTTGGTAGCTGCACCCCTATCGAAAACAGTCCTCGAGGAGGGACGATGCTTACCCTTACGAAAACACGCTAGCCTTGCTGACAAATCTGGACCCTCCGCACCCACGGCAATCACTCGCCTCATTCCGCAACTTGTCAACATGTAAGTGCAAACCCTTACTATTCTTTTTTATAGAATGATCTCCTCATTAGCACACTATTTCGGGAGATCATCGCTCGGATCATCTCCGATAAATCGGCAGGGAGATCATCTCCCTGCCGAACCTGAACCCGAGGCTCACATGTCAGGTACTTTGCCTTCTTGTAGCATGGGAAAGTGGGCGGTCGTCATTTCACCTGACGGAACCTCACATAAGGGCCTCAAAGGAGATTTACTACGGGTTTGACCGAGTTTTAATATGGGCCAAGGACTGGCAAACTCATACACTCATTTCTTATTTCGTGGCAAACTTCTTTCCTTCTACTTCACGAATCTCAAAGAAATTTGAGTTGAACCCAGATATTTCTGTAAGTTAAAACTGATTATATAGCTGTTGAAAGGAATCAAGTTTTCCAACTTGATTCATAATAAAATACTTATCAAGGAAATTTTTGTTCCGTTCTCTTGCTTGTAGAGTAATCAAAAGTGCGGAAAGTGATTGAAAAAGCGACAAAGTCTGGTGCTCCTCAGGCACTTCCAAAAGCAGATGCGGCTAGTCTCTGCTGCCTCCTGCCTGACGTCCATTTATTGAGCTGTGATTAATGTGGTAACCAATTTGCTGCCTTATTTGCACTACATCGTGTGCAAAACTTTGCTTCCTTTAACACTCTACAACATTCTCTATTCTTGCGCACCAATTCCTGTGAAAAATGGATTGTGTAGTAGAACTTCCGATAATTCACGGTTTCTACATTTAATTGACAGTACACAATAATCCTTCTTTACAACAAAATTCTTATCTCTGCAGCGGTTAAGTGAACACTTGAAATTTCTTAATGAGGGGCATTTCAGAGCTTCCTGGATTTATTTTGTTTTATATTCTTCTTGACTACCATGTACACGAGATGCTTTGATGGTGCAGTCCAATTTTTCCTGTCTATGAATCGCTTCCAAATGTGGACGAAGTTTGTTCAAATCTCACAAGAGCATATAATGTATATGCAAATTATGACAGTGGTGTTAACACTTGGTGGACGTCTTTTGTCTGTGTGTTTTCCTCTCAAAAAGCTTTCGAATGTGAGTGTACAGTGTAACGTGCAAAAGACTGCAAATTTGAGACTTTTTTGCAGATCCTTGAAAAGTTGGAAAGATGGCAAATATTTATTCTGCAAGCGTTTCTTCCCACAGTTATTGTGTTTCCCTTATATTTCATGTTTGATTTCCAGTACGGACTGAAAGGCATTACAAAACCGCTCTTGCTAAGCACGCTTGATCCAAGATACGACAAGGTCTGCTATATTCCACTATTAAGTGCAGAAACATTAACAAATATGGAATTTAGTATATCTTTGGTGCTGGCCTTTCTTATCGTGTCTCTGCCTTCATATTATGCTTATTTGGCTATGCAACCATATTCTGGAAAGTTCGAAGAAAAACGTAGGTTTAAGCATTTCAATGAGCTCCTTACGATATAGATCTACATTGAAGAAATGATCGTAAGCGCAACGATTTGAACATCCTGATCCATGCCGGCTGTCTGCTTCTCGCGCTCGGAGCTGTATTATTTGCTAGCGTCTGTCGCCGTTTCCAGATTGGCGAGGTGAAGATTTAATACCGCTGATAGCTTTTCTCAATACATTGCTACGGCTCAGTCACAGCTTTACTGATTACAGAGTTTCGCTTTGATGCGGTTGTTTTTCTTTACGACGATGTTATGGATACCGTGTACGAACGTAATAGTGACTTTATGTGCTATTGCCTCTCTTAGGCAACATGCTCTTCATCCATTCACGGATCAAGTTGTAACTAGTGTTATACCTTCGATCAAGAATGAGCGTTGATTTGAAGCACTAAATGTTTTTTATGTATGTATTTGCAATCTATTTTGCGGACTGCCAGATGCCCTTGTGTTTAAAAGGTTATTTTTCTATTTCTTTTCACTAAGACAGACTTCTCTGACAAGATAGGCATTTGAATTATAAAAAAGTGCCTTAAGATCAACATTAGCTTTTCTGATTAGCTCAAAGGGGAATCACAACGATAAGTTTATGTATGCGTAACTTTTTTGCTATGTACGAGCTGAATCTAGAAAGGGAATTGTGCTCATCAAAAGCAGAGTCCAGGCAAATCTGTTTATATGGGGATCTTACGTGGAAAGTAATTGTGGGACCCAAACTAAGGCACTCCTCAACCGGCAGCTCAGATGATGTACTAGCGGCTGAGATATTATCCTCCCTGGAACCCAGGGATAGTATTTATTTCACATGTATACATGGCGCACACATAAACTAATGTGTAATGAATACAATTCAAATCTTCGGCGAAAGCATGCAAACGCAATGCAAGTCGTCCGATAATAAGATCAAGGAAGTCCAGTTTGGTCGCATATATCTCAGCCACTGATGGGTCACTTGCGCCGTTTAGGGGGTGCCTTAGTTAGCGCCCCAAAGTCACTTTACACGTAAAATTCTATAGGTCCATATTTGCCAGGACACTGCCTTCAGAGAAGAAGTCGATTGTACATTTTCAAAACTATAGTGACTGATCTTGCACAATATATCATGAATGTATTAGCATGAAGAAAAAAGGATTCTTCATGAATAGACCATTAGTACTCATATGGAGCAACTTTGGTCGACAATGGTGAACGTTCGCAATTGGATTTTTTAAGGGCAAGTACTACTACGCTTTTCTTAAAGAACTATATAAAAATCATCTTTACAAAACTTCAGCAGGCAAAGGGACATCTTATATGTGGACGTTCTAGGAATGTGCACCTCGTTTTCTACTACTTTCAAGTGAACTGAGTTTCTCATGTTTCGTTTGATCTTCTGCGAGAATCACCAGAAGGTAGACACTTTATTTCAAGAGTGTTCATCTTTTCTTTGAACTGAAATCTTAAAAGCTGAGGATCTATTATGGCAACGCTAAGCATGTTTTTCGTTGAATGCATGATAAGGATATTTTGAGTTTCGATACCCCGTTCTCGAACAGCGGTCTGTATCGAAAAACTTGTCATCCTGACATTTCACTTACTTCTAGACCAGGCAGATCCACCGCCGTCTGGTTTTCCGGTCGCTAGGTGGTCCTGCCCGCTCCACATCCGGGGTCAGCGATCGCCCCGTGGAAACCAAGAGTTGACCTAGTAAGTCTGCTCTTGTAGTGAAAAACTTAATTACTCCGTCAGCAAGAGGAGATAAAATAAACTCTGTTGACCGGATCCCGCCTACGGCGCCGGGTTGTAGCAAGAACGATGACAGGGTCCTCAAGACGCCTTTCGGTTTGGACAAAAACGACACGTCTGCTTGGACGACACGCCATTGGGACTGCTGCTCTGCACCTGCAACGCCAGGACAGTTTCCACAAACGCCAACCTCCACGCTCTTCTCGACGCTGCAGGGCATATCAAGTACCACCTCATCGCTTTGCAGGAAACGAAGTTCAGGAAGAATGAAGTGCGACAGATGAGTGATGGGACCCTTATCATTCGTGGTGAAATGGATCCATTACGAAACGACTCGACTGGCCATCCTACGACTACGACCTTCACCTCAGAAGACCATCAACATCATCAACTGCTACTTACCAACATCAGCAGCTGACATTCAGAACTAGATACTTTCTACGAAGACGTGGAGGAAGTCGTCCGCAACGAAAAGTCATTCTACAAGTATGTTGTGTGCGACTTCAATGCTAATTCGGGATGCCACTAGAAGGGAAATGCAGGACGGGAAGTTTGGATATGAGCTCCGGAACGAAAACGGAACCGTCTTGCTGGGCTTCTCTCCGCCGCACGACTCTTCCATGGCATACCATCTTCATGAAGAAGGAACATCGCCGATGGAGATGGGAATCGCCCAACGGAACGACTCACCCGGAGATCGGGAACATTTTCACCAACCGAAGGTGGAGCTTGCTCGATTTTAGTAGTCCATCCTTCTGCAGTATTCCGACCACCACCTCCCTCGAGCGAAGATACGATTCAGTCGAAAGCTGGAAAAGAAGGTCTGCCACAGAACCGCAAGAAGGAATAGTGTCGTTTATGACGGTAACAGGCTGAAAGAGCTTATATCAAGTTATGTCTGGGCCATCGAGGAGGACCCAACCTATGACTACGACCGGCTTGTGAAAGGATTGCGAGCCTGTGGAGAGTGCGCCTCAGTGACTTCTGAGAAGAACTTGGAACGCATTTTGAAGATCACTAAGGAATTGCTCAAAAGAAGAAGACTTCTGAGGCAGCATCCAAATGCAACCCAACTCAGGCGACTGATAGCCAACGCCCGTTGCAGAACAGCTTTGCAGGAGGACCTCAGGAAGTACAGGCAAGCCAAGATACTGGAAGCAGCCGAAGGAAGGCGAAGTCTTGAGAAGTGCCGAAGGGACTCCCATAAATATCACGTGCCGCTGGCTGCATTATTGAACGAAGACGGGATTCCGACTTCTTCCCGATCTACGATGAAATCGATCGCGAAGAACCTCTACACCGACCTCTTCTGCTCATCAACATACGTGCCGATGCCTTTACAGTTGGAGAAGCACCACCACGAATTCTACCTGCTGAAGTGCGCGCGGCGATTCAGACCATGAAGATGTCCACGGCTCCAGGACCATACCATCTTTACGTTTTCTACGAGCCGGAGGACAACTTCTACACGAGATTCTCGCCTCGCACCTAGCATCTTACTTTCAGGAGGAGAGGATTCCCGACCAGTGGAGAACGTCAAGAACCGTACTTCTCTTCAAGAAAGGCGAACGGGGAGATCTTCGGAACTACCGTCCAATATGCCTGCTGAGTGTGCTATACAAGCTTTTCATGAAGATTTTTCTTGCTCGCATATCTAAGACACTGGATGACGCGACCCGAAGAGCAAGCTGGACTTCGCAAAGGGTCAGCTGCATGGAACCACATCCAGACGGCTTGGAAAAGTCATGGAAGTCTGACGGGAGTACCAACTTCCTCTCGTACTAACATTCGTCGACTACGAGAGACTACTACGAGGAAGCCTTGGACAGCGTCGAAACTAACGCCATCTTGTCTGCGCTAGTCAATCAAGGGTGGACCCATCTTACGTGTGAACGTTAGCCGACTGCTATAAGAAGAGTACAACGATGATGCAGCTAGTCTATCGCCCCTTGACCATCCCAAGAAGGGGGTCCAACAAGGCGGCACAATTTCGCCAAAGCTGCACACCGCGGCCTTGCAGTGGGTGATGAAGTCACTGGACTGGGGCGAGAGAAGCATACGAGTTGGTGGGAGATTCCTGTCGAATCTTCGTTTTGAGGACGACATTGTTCTGTTCTCAAGCAATATCACTGAAGCAGAGACGATGTTGAAGGAACTAAACGAAGTAGGGAAGAAGATCGGACTGCGAATAAATTGGAAGAAGACTCAGTTCATGAAGAACGCCCTTCGCGAAGATGCAGAAATGGAACTGGAAGGCACTCAGATCATGAAGACGTCTTCTTACTTGTATCTCGAACATTCAATGAACAGAACGACTTGAGGGAAGAACTTAGCAGAAGAAGAAGAGCAGCCGGGGCGCCTTTGGGCCTTCGAAGAAAGCCGCTGACCAACTGACGGACTCGGACCTTGTTCGACTCAACCGTTCTCCCGGCGCTCTGTTACGCAGCTGAGACCTTGGCTGACACTGTAGCCACTGGAAAGCTTTACGGACCGCCCACAAGAGCGCTCGAGCGCAGTCTTCTGAAGATGACCCGAACAAGCAACATCTGGTCAGACTTCGCAGTACAGATATGAGAAGAATATCCCGTCTTCGTGATCCAGTGGAATAGGTTGCGAAATCATGAGAAGCACAGACGACAGATGGACATTAAGAACATCTGAGGGATTCCTCGCGAAGCCAAACTTCCCAGGGAAAGACCTCCAACTAGATGGGCAGACGTGTTCGTGGAAATGATGGACTGTTGAGAATTCAGCTGGATACGGTTACCGCATCTGGAACTCGTGGACGCAGCCACCGACGACAACCAGAAGATCGTGGATGTACGAAGCGAGGGAGGGACAAATGGAAACTTCTGTGCTGGAGCCCGCACGTCACGTGAAGTCGGGCCATCTAAGTATCTAAACAAGTATCTATGACATACATGCCTAGAGCTCATCATGTACCCGCAACATATTGTAAAATGTCTTTAGCTTGTGCTACAAAAAAGTAAACGAGTGCGCACCCTTTGAGTATCTCCGAAGATTATGCGAAACATGAAAAACGCCTTATATGGTAGTGCAATGCCATCCATTATCCTTAGACCCGAATGCATGAAGGCCCAAACCCGAATGCATGAAGGCCCCTGCTGCGAAAGGAGCGGCATTCTACGTTAAGAAGCCGCGGGTGAATCCCGCTGCAGCCTTTTCATCATCTGACGCTGCTCGTCTCGCTGCAGGGACGTTCATGCATAAGGGCCTGACTAAGCTAGTAAAGCCTATAAAAGACGAGTAAGAGGTGAAGGAGACAAATTTTTTGATTTTCTGCAGGTCCCTTCCTCCTCCACGATGTGCTTACGTAAAGGCAGATTCAGATGTCTCCAAATGCTTTTATTTTTTAAGGACCGCATGCATGAACATCTACGCTGGGGGAGGGAGCGCAGCTCAAAAAAAAACGCTTATTTTGAATGCTCCAGAGATCTGTGATTGGCGTATCTCTAGTCTCGAGCACTGCTCCTCTCTATTAGGAGCATGTTGTAAAGGAGCCTCTAGTGAAGCCGCGTTTTCCGGCTTTTCGCATAACTCTGACAATATCCAGCGGTTAACAATCTTTTGCGTAAAGTTTTGAGCTGAAATCTAATAGCAGTCAAAAACAAACTTTTCTGTAAAAAAACCATATCT